CGAGTGTTTCTTGAGGTCTACCAGGGCCAGAAAATCACAAGGCCTCAACATTGATGGCTGAACTTTGTGCTCAGAGAAGGTTCTGCAAGCTATTATCAAGCATGGCTAGAAGTGCCACACCACGGTCACCATACCTAGAGAGGAAGGAGGGCCATACCATGACTGATGATATTCCTATAATCTTTGTTTTCAAGAACTAGATTCTTGTTCATTTCCACCAGGATGGTACCAATATTCTCACAGTGTCTGACAAGCATCAAGGAGGTGGGGCCTGAATCAAGCTGTGTGTGTGTGAAGGGGATATAACTGGGAATATTGGGAACATTCCCAAGCTTTCTACCCAGCTGGAAAACTCATTTCCACATTTAATTCTTAGTTCTTCATTATTTACTGGGACCAAAACCATTTTCTTATTATCTGTCTCCTTTTTCCCCAAGACACAGAGAGGCAGCACCAAGAACACAGCCACCACTTACCCCCAGGCAACACCTTTGCTTAGCAATGATGTCATCATGTCAGGCACCTGGAGAGACTCTATGGGGAGGGGCTTTCATTTTCTTAGGGTGCCTACTTCAAAGACTTAGCAAGTTTAAAGTTTGCTTCCTGCGGCTGGTTTGTAGCACAGCTGGTGAAGCTGCTGACTGGGAAGCCAGCATCCCATAGGAGTGTAGGTTTGAGTACTGGTGGTTTCACTACTGATCCAGCTCCCTGCTAATGTGCCTGGGAAAGCAATGGAAGATGGTCCAAGGGCTGGCACCTGCCACCCATGCCACCCATGTGGGAGACCCAGATGGGGTTCCTCGTTTCAGCCTGGCCTAGCCCTGTTTTTTGCACCCTTTTGGGGAGTGAACCAGTGAATGGAAGAGCCTCTCTCTCTCTCTCTCTGTATTCTTAAAAAAAAAAAAAAAAGAATAATAAAGTTTTCTTCCTTGATAGGCTACCATCCCAGATGCAATAGACCCTTAAGCGAATTTTCCTTGACCCTAGGCTGTGTTTACTCCTATGCCTGATCCAAATTAGCACTATTTCCCATCTCACAAACCCTCGACCAAGTGTGCACACAGCTCTGGGTTCAATGATACAGGATACTTTCTCTAAAATGCAAAATCCCCAGGTTCCAAAGCAAAATATTCCTGTCTCTGACCCAACTGCAGAACAGGGTTTTCTTGGAGTAGGGGGAGAGGAGTTGGACAGGAGGTAAGCCAAGGTCGGGAGCTGATTTTCTCTCTGAAGTCTGGAATGAAGGTCACACTCCAGTATGGAAAGTGACCTGAGTACTATGTGAAACTAGATAAGTGAATGCTGGCCCAAGTCCTCTTGGCTCCTGACTTGTTCTCCTCTCTCTTTGATCTCCTTCTGATCTGGAGCTGGAGTCCATAGATATTGCTTCACTGTTCCCATCCCATGCTGAGGACACAGAAGTCATGAGCAGGTAGCCAAGGTTCCCATGCACATCCTCACATGCCAGTGCCTCTCACACAGAGCTCTTTTCACCATCTTCGGGGTGAGAGAGGAAGGGAACTTGCGAACTGAGGCATTGGGAATGAGTCATTTTTCATGTAACCCAGGTGGGTGAATAAGACCCCACAGTCCCACTGCTGCCTACTCCTATATCTACATACCACGGAACTGGGAGGGTATGTGAAGCCACTGCCCACTTCCTTCCCAGCTCCTGGTGACCTGTGACAAGCCAAAGGAGGCACGCGGTAGAGTTATGAGGGCTTCCTCTTTCCCCTAAGCTTTAACATGTGTGCTTCCCTAAAGCATATCCTAAACACAGCACAGACAGATAGCAGCACTCAGCCACCAGAAACACACACATTTGGAAAGAGTAAGTACCCTTGGTTACGGAATCAGATGACAGAGACCCCTTCTTCAGAGGCTGTGGTAGTATGTGGCTAATTCATTTTCTCTGGTTGCACAGAACCTTTCCTTCGGTGGGAATTTTCCTCCTCAGAGAAATGGAAGACTTTCTTTCCGTCCCACTGACAAAGCCTGGAGGGTGGAGAGGGTGGCCTGGGAAACATGGCCTCCTTTGCCCATGCTGGCAAGGCCCGATTGGAGACACTGACTTCCTGGGGCTCCTGGAGTAGGCTGCCTTGGACTCAGCGCCTGATTCTTGTCTGACAATTTTATGGTGCTGTCCAGAGACATGAACACCAAATACAATGATCTCATCTCTCTGGATCATGTACTGGATGGCAAAAACCCAAAAACCAAAGCAAAACACCGAAACAAAAACAACAAAAAAGTAGATTGCCAAGGTTTTAATAGAGTCAATAGATAAAATTCTCTGTCCATGCCACATTTATTGTAGTTTGTGTATACTCTATAAGAGAATATCTTTTAAAAAATAAAACAGAAACTTTAAAACTTAGGAGTTGTGCATCAAGGTTTGAAAAAATATCGATTTCTCTGTTCATCTGGAGAGAAAGCAAGAGGTTTTGTGTGTGAGCGAGACAGCCCAAGGGATAAGTGCTTCAAAGGGGAAATCTGTGTAGTAGGGTATATAGAGGCAATTTTTTTCAGGATTTAAAATAACTTCCAGATTCAAACATCAAGAGGCACATGCCAGCTGACAACAGCACCTTTTTTAAAAACAAAAACGGAGAACACTGGGTCCTGTGTTTCGGAGGCAGTGGCAAATGCCCGTGGGCCAAGCTCTGCAATCCTTTGGATCTCTCCTAGTCCCGTGACCCTCACCACTCAGGGTACGCACTTTCCATGGCAGATTTCTACAGCACTGGGGACTGGCGCTCAGGGAGTGTTGAGGCACTGGGTATGGGTTGAACTGGCTCTCTAGGCAGCTCTGATGTCTAATATGAATCAATATCCTTCACATAACTTCTGATGAGACTTCGGTGTATGGTAATTTGTTTTACTCATATACTCCCACAACCACCTACCATTTGCAACATGCAAAAATAAACAAGCCACTGTGAAGTGGTCAAAATTTTGGATGCCTATATATGAATACATTCTAATGCTTATGAGAAAATTCTGACATATTTAAAATGAGAATCTGGGATTTCAGTTAAACATCATTGAAGGAACACACATTTTACCATGTTTATAAGTACCCTAAAGGTACATGAACGGCATGAGGCTGACAAGAGTGGAAGAAGACACAACAAGACATTTCCCCAATTTTTAGAGCTGGAAATCAGATTGAAGAATGGTAACAGACCACCTTAGGTTCCTAAAGGAAAGGATTCAAGAAGCAAACAAAATTACTGTGCAAATTTTAATTTACTCAGGTCTTGCATGCAGCAAATAAGAAAGAATATGGAGTAAGACATGAATCCAGCATTGAGAAATGTAACCACACCCTTGGATGGTTTCTAGTCTATCTCATCAGATTACAAAACCAATTCCAAAAAAATTCAAGGCCAGTTCAGAGAAACCAACCTTAAATTCAGGTGTCTTAGAACCATTTCTGGTGGGAAACTTCATAACATTTGGGATTCAGCCAGAGAGGCATAGCTAGTAGTGTATGAATTTATGTAACTACATGGATATACATACGCATACATGCACAATTTTACAAGAATTGGTTTATACAACTCTGGGGACTGATAAGTACTTCCAAAGTCTGTAGATTAGAATTGCAAGATCATGGGCAGACATGGTGTCTCAGGCCAGTCCATTTTGCATTTTTTGTAATAAAATACTGGACACTAGGTAATATACAAAGGTAATATACAGAGGTTTATTTAGCTGATGGTTCTGGAGTTCCAAGAGCATGCACCAGCATCCACTGGACCTCCTGGAAGATGGCATCAGAACGGCAGGAGCACGTGCATAGCAGGGATTCAAGGAAGGCGCCACACTCACTCATAACAACCCATCCCGTGGTGAGTCCCATCCGGCAAGATCTTAGCCCTAATATACTCATGAGAGGGGAGCCCGTATGACTTAATTTTTTCTTTTTTAAACATTTATCTTATTTATTTGAAAGAGTTACAGAGAGAGCTAGAGACAGAGAGAGAAGTCTTCCATCCGCTGGTTCACTCCCCAGATGGCTGCAATGGCCGGAGCTGTGCCGATCCAAAGCCGGGAGCCAGGAGCTTCTTCCAGGTCTCCCATCTGGGTGCAGGGGCCCAAGAACTTGGGCCATCCTCTACTGCTATCCCAGGCCTAGCAGAGAGCTGGATTGAAAAGAGGAGCAGCCGGGACTAGAACCAGCACCCTTATGGGGTGCCGGCGCTTCAGGCCAGGGCATTAACCCGCTGCATCATTCCCCGTATGACTTTATAACTTTTCATTAGGCCTCATCACCTATGTACTCTGCCAGCTAATACCACCACACTGAGGGTGAAGCTTCCAGCACATGGACTCTTGGACTTTTTTTTTTTTTCCGATTATATGTGAATCATTTTTTATTCAAACTTGTCTCCATTAGTATATTTTAATTAAAATTATAAAGCCAAGATTCAGAGAAAGCACTTAGGAAATGTTATAAGTTCATGTGTAGCTAGGGAGCATCCCTCTCTTTTTGTCCTTGAAGGCTGTCCATGGCCTTGTTCATGTTTAGACTTGGTCCCCAAGCCTCCTCTCCATACACGTTCTGAAAAAGAACCAATGACAGCAGGCTGCTGTAGGTCTCCAGCATCACATCCCTGTACAGGATTCTTTGAGCATTGTCCAGGCCCTGCCACTCCTTCCAGGTGAAGTTCATAGCCCGGTCTTCAAATGACACCAATGCTTAAAACAGTACATCTCTTGTCACATATCAGTTTATTTCTCGGCTTTCAAGGAGTCCGGGGCGCTCCGCAGGGCTTCAGTAGTGTGGGCATTCACAGAAAGTGAAAGGAAAGCTAAAGTCTAAGCCACCTGCGGGTTCCCTCAGGGCACAGCAGGGAAGCCCAGCACGGCTGCCAGAGAGAAGACCCCGCCTGGTTACATTGTGTTGCCGTGCCCCGCCTGAATAGACAGTTCCTTTTTTTTTGGGGGGGGGGGGACAAACAATCTTTATTATGTACAAGCAGCCCAAGGCGCGGTCACCCCAGCTTCGTGGCCAGCTCCTTGGCCTTGGCCTTCTCCAGCTTGGCGATGCGAGCCACGGACTCGGGCCCCAGGACCTTGCCTCCCCAGTGGCGGCGGATCTCGTCGTATCTGTCATTGTAGTTGGTCCTGATGGCCTCCACCAGCTTCGCCAGGACCCCTTCGTCCTCCGAGTTCACCTGCGTGAAGGCCACGGTGGTGCAGGTCTTCCTGTGCACCAGGCACCCGAGCCGGGCCTTGCCCTTGAGGATGCAGTACGGGACCCCTATCTTGCGGCACAGGGCGGGCAGGAAGACCACCAGCTCAATGGGGTCCACGTTGTGCGCGATTACCACCAGCTGTGCCTTCTTGTTCTCCACCAGGGTCGTGACGGTGTTCACTCCCGCCCGCAGCACCTGCGGCCGCTTGCTGGGCACGTCCCCCTTGCCGGCTGCCTTCTCCGCGCGCGCCAGCAGCCGCTGCTTCTTCTCCTGCTTGGTCTCGGGCCGGTACTTGTGGGCCAGCTTCAGCAGCTGCGTGGCCGTCTGGCGGTCCAGCGCCTGCGTGAACTGGTTGATGGCGGGCGGCACCTTCAGCCGCTTGTACAGGATGGCCCGCTGCTGCTGCAGCCGGCTGTAGCGCGGCCACTTGAAGCGTGTGAGGTCCCGCTTGGGCTGGATGTCCTGTCCGATGCCGAAGTTCTTGGGCCGCTTCTCGGACAGCGGGTTCACCACCTTCTTGGCCTCCTGCTTCTTGACCACGGCAGGGGCCGGGGCCACCTTCTTCCCCTTGGCCTTCTTCCCCTTCGGCATCTTGAGCGGCTGGAGTCCTCTTCCAGTCCAGCTCTCTGCTGTGGCCCAGGAGTGCAGTGGAGGATGGCCCAGGTCCTTGGGCCCTGCACCCGCGTGGGAGGCCAGGAGGAAGCATCTGGCTCCAGGCTTCGGATCCATGCAGCAAGCCGGCTGCAACACGCCAGCCGTAGCAGCAACTTGGGGGGTGAACCAACGGAAAAAGGAAGACCTTTCTCTCTCTTTCTCTCTGTCTCTCTCTAACTCTGCCTATCAAAATAAATAAATAAATAAATAAATAAATAAAACAAAAAAAGGTACTTAATGGTATATCCCTTGCATAGTCTTAAAAACTCATATTTTTCCTTTCAGAATAGAAATAATTTACTTTATAATGCCTATACTTTTCTGTTCATTGAACAATCAACTTTTTTTTCCCCCTTGGGTCTTTTTATTTGCTACCCAGTGCATGGAACCCTGCCTTGGTAGCTAATCATAGCTTGGCTCCTTTGAGCTTCAGTTTAAATGTCATGTCCTCACAGGGGCATCTGTTGTTTTGTGCTAAGCATTTATCCACCCTCGTTTTCCTCTGAAGTTCTAAGCCTTCCTAATTTTTAGGTTTGTGGTTTAGTTGGTATAGATCTCATGTTCGTCTTCAGGGCAGCTCTGGTTGGCTTAAACCAGTAAGCATAGTCCATTACTATGGCTACAGTGATTAGTTCAGAGCTAAGCCTACAACACAATCGGAACCAAGGAGATATTAGAAGACATTTGCAGGTCCTCTCATTTATTCACATCTTTTGGAAGAGGCCTCCCTCTTTCTCTGGATTATTGGATAGTAGCTTTGTCTTTGAATGGGAGGTGAATGTTTGTTTCTGGGAAAGCAGGATAAGGGGAAATATGGACTGAGGGAAATCTATGGATGATGTCACCAGTGAGACAAGACAAAGATCTTCTAGAGGGGCTGGCACTGTGGCACAGCTGGTTAACACCCTGGCCTGAAGTGTTGGATTCCCATATGGATGCCGGTTCGAGACCCGGCTGTTCCACTTCCAATCCAGCTCTCTGCTATGGCCTGGGAAAGCAGTAGAAGATGGCCCAAGTCCTTGGGCTCCAGCACCTGCATGGGAGACCAGAAAGAAGCTCCTGGCTCTTGGCTTCAGATCAGCGCAGTTCTGGCTGTTGCAGCCAATTGAGGAGTGAACCTGAGGATGGAAGATCTCTCTCTCTCCCATTCTGCCTTTCCTTCTCTCTCTGTGTAACTCTGACTTTCAAGTAAAATAAATAAATTTTAAAAAAGGCAAGGAATTTAAAGTGCTAAAAAAAAAAGATCTTCTAGAATGACAGAGATACTAGACTGAACTCCCTGGAAATTAGACCTACTCCCAACAAATCAATGTTGCTTTATTGTTTAGACCACTGATAGATTATTTATAACATAAAGAATTCTAAGCAGTAGGAGTTCAGAGAGGATTCTCCTAACTACCCTATCAAAGTGATTCGCACTACTGCTACTGTTTATTTCCTTCATGGCACTTACCACAATCTGTAACTATCTCTCCATTTGCTTACTTGTTTATTGTCTGTCTCTGTTACTGGACTGCAAACCCATCAGGATTGGGAACTTAGGTTTTAAGTTCACCGGTCATTGTGGTATCTGGATCAGTGTGTGAAAATATGGAAATTTCATTTACTGGATAAATGGATTAATAACTTTTTTGTATATCCTGAAATGGATTTTCTCTTGTTCCCTGTGCTAAGCCGTCTTGTAAAAATGAGAAAAGAAGCAGGTTACAATGGTACAGCTTGTACCCTCACCATGAATTTTGATAGTCCTCTTCCAAGTAAAATGGAATGATTTTCCTGGAAGTCCACTTTTAACATGAAATTTTGTTATTTTATTTAACTGCAGTAGACATCCAGCATTTTTATAGTTTGGTCTTAGACAGAGGACTTCAGCATCTGCTTTTCATTTTGAATGGATTCTCCCTTCTCTAAAAGATACACATTTGGAAATGCATTTAAACAAAACTTAGGTTGTTTTAAAAGAGGAAACATAAAATGTTTTGCAAAAAATGTGACCCAAAAGTTAAGACATTAATTTTTCAGTATTTTTAGCAATAATACCAATGATTAAGCAGAGCAACAAAAAAGCTTCATCATTTGTGACAGCTGTAGATAGCGACTGGTTTCCCTCTAAGATGTGAATATCGTATCTATCACATGCTCTGATAGATACTTAAGAAATATCGTGGGGAAGACTCTGTAGGCCTATAATGCCATCAATAACACTTGAGTCATTGGTTTGTATATGATAGCAATAAAAAGTAAGGGATTCTGTTTTTTTCTCTTCTTTTTCATATTCAAAAGTATCAGCTATTCTCAAGCAGATAAAGTTGATTTTTTAAATGCATGTTTTGTCATTATTCTCATGGAGTGGTTTTCAAGTTTTGGGAGACCAACACATTGGTATTTCCAATGGAGCCACAAAGTCCAGGTCCAGTTCACCCTCACATATTTTGTTTTGGATAGTATTTACTCCCTACACCAATATGGTGTTAACATAGCTAGATTCCTAGGGCCTTCATGTGGTCCTTTTTCTCTAAACCTATTATCTGCAAAACTTACACAGGTTGTAAAGAGAAGGGCTTGGATTTAGCGTTGAGTTTAAAAATTCTTGGAAATCTTGGGCTCCAGATATCATCAATGTTGCTTCTATTTTGGGACTCAGTGCCTGGCTAAGAAAACCCAACTCTGAACAGATCCTCGTGGTCTTCATTCCCAGGCCAGTGCCTGGAGATGGAGCCTCTGGACTTGCTTCTGTAAAGCTCTGTAGCCCCAGTCTTGTATCTCAGCCGGCACCCCCAGTGGCTGGCAGCAGCAGCACTGGGCAGTGTGTCAGCCTCAGAAGCAGATAGACCATGGTGGGCCTGCAGTAATGTTTTTTTTTTTTCTTTATTATTTATTTCAGTAAAATCATTTTTGTTTGTTTCCCTATCTTTATAATCAATATTTTTTCTATCATTTTGAAACAGATTGTTATAACCAAAAGTTTTGTGTAAGTCTAGGGGTAACCACAAAATAAAAAGTTGGTAATAGATTTACTAAAACAATAAGCAAAAAAATCAAAGCACACTGCTAGAGGAAAAGCACTGAGACACAGAGGAACACTGCTGGAGAGGGAGAAAGAGGAAGAAGCTACAATAAAACTGAAAAACAAGTATCCAAATGGCAGTAGTAAGCCCTTCCCTATCAATAACTCCCTTAAATATAAATGGATTGATTCTCCAATTAAAAGACAGAGTGCTAGAATGGATAAATATCAAACCTAACTATATGCAACTAACAAGACATTTGCTCACAGGCATAGACTTGAAGTAAAAGGATGGAAAAAGACATTCCATGCACATGGAACCCAAGGGAAAGCAGTAGAACTACTAATATCAGACAAAATGGACTTTAAATCTAAAGCAGTAAAGTGAGAAGAAAGGTCACGATAGCCTGCTAAAAGGTTCAATTCAGCAATAGGAAATAACAATTGTAATTGTGTATGTTTTCATATATTGGAGCACCCAAATACATAAAGCAAATATTAATAGATACAAAGGGAGAGATATACTCCAATACATTAATAGTAGGGAACTTCAACATCCCACTTTCAGAAATGGACAGATTGTCCAGAAAGAAAATCAATGAAGAAATAACAGAATTAAATTGCACCCTAGAGCAACTGGACTTTAAAGACATCTATAGAACATTCTGTACATCAGCTGCAGAATTACTCTCTCTCTCTCTCTCTCTGTACCTCTCTCTCTGTACCTCTCTCTCTGAGTAACTCTGACTTTCAAATAAATGAATAAATCTTTAAAAAACAAGAAAATACACATATATAGAGAAATTAGGCAATTTACTCCTGAACACCAAATGGATCAAGGAATAAATCAAGAAGGAAATTAAAAAATTTCTTAAAATGAATTAAAATAGAAACACAGCGTACTGAGGTTTATGGAATTAAGTTAGGGCAATATTTTTTTTTTTTTAACAGGCAGAGTTAGACAGTGAGAGAGAGAGACAGAGAGAAGGGTCTTCCTTCTGTTGGTTCACCCCCAGATGGCTGCTACAGCCGGCGTGCTGCGCCTATCTGAAGTCAGCAGCCAGGTGCTTCTCCTGGTCTCCCATGCGGGTGCAGGGCCCAAGGACTTGGGCCATCCTCCACTGCCCTCCCGGGCCACAGCAGAGAGCTGGCCTGGAAGAGGAGCAACCGGGACAGAATCCGGCGCCCCAACCGGGACTAGAACCTGGTGTGCCGGTGCCGCAGGCGGAGGGTGAACCAAAGGAAGGAAGACCTTTCTCTCTGCCTCTCTCTCTCACTAACTCTGCCTGTCAAAAAAAGATAAATAAATAAAATAAATAAATAAAAAATCAGAGCACAAATACGTGAGATAGAGACAAAAAATATTCAAAAAAAAATCAATGAATCAGAGAACCAGTTCTTTGAAAAGATAAAATTATCTAGACTTGTGAAGAAAAAAAGAGAGTAGTTTCAATTACGTATTATTCAAATACATGCAAATACGTACTCAGAGATGAAAATCAAGACCTTATGACTGTATTATTCAAATACATGCAAATACAAAACCAGAGATGAAAACCAGACCTTATGACTGACACCACAGCAATAAAAAGAGTTGTTAGAGGTTACTGTAAACAACTATACTGCAACAAATTTGACAGCTTACAAGAAATGGACAATTTCCTGGACACATTAAATCTAATAGCGCACTAAAATATTTTCATAATTTTTTTAAAAAATATTTTTACTATCATTTCATCTTTCTCCTTTTTTTTAATTTTTTGACAGGCAGAGTGGACAGTGAGAGAGAGAGACAGAGAGAAAGGTCTTCCTTTGCCGTTGGTTCACCCTCCAATGGCCGCCGCGGCTGGCCCACTGCGCTGATCCAATGGCAGGAGCCAGGTGCTTCTCCTGGTCTCCCATGGGGTGCAGGGCCCAAGCACTTGGGCCATCCTCCACTGCA